ATTATCAGCTTCCTGCTTTATCACCACCTACGGTACTTTTACGGTATTGACGAGACACCGGTGTTGCCCTACTTTCCGAGAGATATTGAATCCGTTGTAGGGAACGAGAAGTGTCGCATTTATAGAAATTATTCGTTCTTCATCCTCAGGCTTATACAAGCTAATAGCCCTGATATAGTTCTTCGCGACTAACAAAGCAAGACGATATTCGTCATGGTGTTTTCACCTCCTGGCGAAACGAATATCGTCCGAAAAAAGGAAAAAAACCGGATAGAATATCGAGATTCTCTCTTCGAACTCCACAGACCACTCTGTCGAAATGGTTGTTTCGATTATTGCCACACTGAGGCAGAAATCTTAACCGAACAAATGATTCTCAGACCCAATGATCACTTACCTCATGGTGTGGGGAGTAGTCATTGTTTGATAATGCTGGCACGCCCCCCGGAATGTATCAGGGCTTCGAACGATAGAGCCCGACCAATGCAACCTTTGGGAAAATAATAATAATAATACCCCTTGGTGGAGTTTTTGGACCTTAACGTAATAGAGAGGTGTCTTTTGGAAACCTGGTACACTCAGTTGTAGTTAGCCTTGCTGCGGTATGGGAGCACTGCTGTAATTGACCGTTATTATTCTGCCCTACTCATGGGAATCATATGTCAGGTGATCTTTCTCTGTTCTCAGGTGGTAGGGGACCACCCGAAATTCTCCTAGCTGAAAATGCTAGGGTAGAGATGGAGGTTATTCCCCGGTTCTCGTTAGTGAAAATCACCGAAGACGGCGTGGCAAATTTCTAAAAAATTAGCTCTTTTATAATTTCCAAAGCTATGTTTGGTCTTATAGATGAAGGCAAATGTATGAAAAAAATGAAAGATGTAATACTGATCCAAACGAAAAAAGACAACCAAACAAAAGGTTGATAGAGGTGACAAGATTCATAGAACTGGATGTCAAAGTTGAAGCTCATTCCATTTGAACACATTAGTTATTTTGGTAAATACCTGATGAATTGCACAACGGAGGAAATTTTGGGCGAACTTGGGATAACCCAAGTGAGACGTTTGAAAAGAGATGCAAAAATTAAAAAAATTCCAAGCAATGTATACTTACCTTCAACACGCCCCAACTCCCTACCTATATCATTGTAGCTTACTACAGATTGAAGAGTTGACCATACATTTCTCCTTCGGTCCGCTGCTTCAACTGCCAATTCTTTGACTATATGATCATCAATCATCGATGATATTGTTAGTACTAACTATCGAAAAGTCGTGAAACATCTTGGTTCGTCTTTTTTTTTAATCGTTTTCCTTCATTTGTATATTATCAACATTTTACTTATTTTTGGTAAATACCTGATGAATTGCACAACGGAGGAAATTTTGGGCGAACTTGGGATAACCCAAGTGAGACGTTTGAAAAGAGATGCAAAAATTAAAGAAATTCCAAGCAATGTATACTTACCTTCAACACGCCCCAATTCCCTACCTATATCATTGTAGCTTACTACAGATTGAAGAGTTGACCATACATTTCTCCTTCGGTCCGCTGCTTCAACTGCCAATTATCGATGATATTATTAGTACTAACTATCGAAAAGTCGTGAAACATCTTGGTTCGTCTTTTTTTTTAATCGTTTTCCTTCATTTGTATATTATCAACATTTTACTTATTTTAATATTTTTTTTCATACCTATTTGATTATTTTTTTATATTTCCTTCCATTTTTTTAGCGCTCATTAGATAATTGTCGTACTAGTGATTTCAAATTCTTATGTGATTCACCTTTACTTACATTTCAAAACTTGTTAAAATAGAAATCTGCACCTGTAACACTGAATATGTAACGACCTAGCGAAAAAATAAACATATAAGTTATTATTACCAACTTTTAGCCTGTACAATTTGTTCATTTAAACACTTCGATATTTGGCATTTAATTAGTTGTAGAAACCAGTATTTGGTGTAGTATAAAAACTGTCAAATATACAGCTTGTCAAATCTAGGAAGCGACTTGTAACATATCTCCATCTGCATACACTACTGACAGAGAACACATTGGGATAGTAAAGGATGAAATCTACCGTGTGACTTGGTGCGCCTATTTGGGTTTTAGAGTGGCCTGAGAGTACAGCCCTCGCCGCAAGTAGCAATAATGGTTGATGGTTTTTTGATTGATAGTCAATTATTTGTTTAGTATGATAATGTGGTATTTACGTAATTGAATATAAATGAGTTTATTTTTCAGCAGTCGGTATTGCATTTGATTTCGGGTTTATTAAGGAAAGGTAGAAATACCTATTCTTAAAATGTAATTTATTTGGGTTGAAGATTAAATTTCAGAATGAAAATTTCTTGGGAAACGTTATATTTACTGGGGTGAATGAATCTAAAAAATAATATTAATAGAGTTATGATCAAAAAATTGCAATGGTTCAACTCCAGACAGATCGGAATCCTCGTGGTACTGTCGTTGTCACTATCACCTTGAACATTTATAATATTTTTGTCTATTGTGAAATCAAGAGCAAGTTCCTTCGAAGCATAAAATTCTTAGAAAAGTTTAGCGTGTTCGCAACGTTTTCTCCGCTGCTCTTGAGAAAACGAAGTGAAGAATTCGTTCATAAACTCTCAACTCAAACTCTCACATATTCATTAGCCACATATTGTTTCAGTGATGCCCATACTAATTCTATTGGGTTCAAATCTGGATGATAAAGAGGCAATCTGTATACAGTATGTCCATGATTTTCCATAATCCTATAAATTTCATGCAACTTGAATCTTGGTTTTTGGTTTTTAATAATGGAATAGAGATAAATTTCCACCATATCTTCCATGAAATTGATGTTCCGTCGTCTTAAACATTTTTTCATCTCATCTTTCCTCGAGGACATGTTTGGGCACTTTTCATACTGAACATTGTGGTATGGGGCATTGTCTATAACCAAAGGGCTTTCTACTGGAAGATTGGGAAGTGCCATTTCTTACAACCACTTTTTGTATTTGTCGTAATTCATTATGCTATGATAGTCGCATTTTGTGTTGGATTTGAATTTTAGATATGAATTTTTCACAAATCTATTTTCTCCTCCTGCACTCACAATTATAAGTATCTGCCCTTTTGAAATTGGTGCATTCAAATCATCATTCCAACTCTTTTCATGTGTATGTTAATCACTTCTCCCGCTTGACCACACACAACTTTTCGTTTCAATTTCGACAAGAATACCATTTTCTTAGAGCACATACTTTTGTCGTGTACTATACTTCACCGAAGTGGACACTACAAGATTGTCGTCAATACTGAGCTCCGATCATCTTCAAGGGTTTTCTACCAAGCGCATCTTAGGGGAGGTCCTAAGCCGAGACTTTGAAGTCGCTTCTTAGATTTGACAAGATGTACGTTATCAGTAGGTGTCAAAATCTAAATAATTGCTGACGACTAAGTTCTATATAGCTATCTCTCTTCGATGTACTGAGTGTAAGCCCTGATCAGACGCAAAACAACTTTACGTTTTCTTATTCCACTTACAAAAGAAAAGGATGCTATATAAAGGTATTTCTTTTATCGCATATTTTATTGATGACATTCACATTTTGGAAAGTGATATTATCAATTGTAATGCATGCGCAAACTATTTTTCGTTTTCCCTACTTCACTCTCAGTGTTTCGTTTTACCGTTCCATAAGTAAATGAATGACAAAATATTCCATTTGAATATTTAACGTATCATATTCTAAAAAGGGACTCACTACAAGCTTCAACTCTCGACATTCTCAATTCATTCTAATCGATAGTCTTCACAGAGGATTTAGTGATCATGTGGTGATTTTGTAACAGCGGAAACTGACGTAGTTACCTACCAATTTATCCCACTCTAAGACATGATCTGATAATTAACTTCAACTGACAACCCATTTCCTCTTTCAGTTAAGGTAACTACCAAATAACTATCAGTTGAGAGTTAATCAACACTTGAAAAACCATATTTTGAAATTAATTTCAGTTAAATCTGATTCTCAATCAACTATTGATTTTAAATCGAGACCTAGCTGCTTTACATTATTAATATTTCAATCGTTTCACAGGTGATCAACAGATATTCAGCCAATGGATCCTACGGTTATGATGTACTCAGCTTAGATATCCAAAGAGGTCGTGACCATGGGTTACCCAGTTATAACGATTTCAGACGTCTATGTGGGCTTATTGAGCTGAGCAGTTTTGTAGAAAACGCAGATCATATAGGCCAAAAGGTAGGTGGATGAAATGAATATTGTTTCGCCGTCCTATGAAAATTAAACTCATATAAGTAATTATAATTAAAGTAACTAAACAAGCCTTCAGCTTTCTATTCTACTTTTCTTACACTCACTTCATTACTCACCACCCACTATTTCCACACTAAAATCCACAATGCCGAAAATTACTTTTCTACAACGTCTAGTCAAGCGAATTTTGAAATAGCTTATTATCGACTAGGCGTTTGTCTGGTCCTGAAGAAGTGCCCATCATCGTAATTAAAAAGTGCGTCAATGAACTCGCACCAGTATTTTGCAGAAAGGGGTTTTTCCTTCTTGTTGAAAGATTGCTCGCGTTCAGCCTATTACCAAAAAGGGCAAGAAAAATCTTCCAAATAACCATAGATCATTTATGATGCACTGTTTTGGAAACTTTGGAATAGTAATGAATATTACTGGAGTTACTTTCCCAACACCAAATCGTTATTTTTAACACCTCGACATATATTTCGATCACCAAGTGATCATCTTCAAGAGGAAGATTAAACTGTTTAATCAGTTTAATCTTCCTTCCAACAGGCGACCTTCTATGGTCTTCGATCGTGTGTGGCATGAGGGTCTGCTGGCTAAGCTTCAATGCTATGGTTTGCGGGATCATTTTTGTGTATGGCTCTCCAGCTTCCTGAAAGAACGTTCCCTGCAATTCGCCATCAATGGATATCTCGAATATGTTTATCATCAACGCTGGTGTTCTCCAGGGATCCATATTGTTTCCAACCTTCTCATTATTGTATATCAACAACTCATTGGAAAAAACAAGAATTCAATATTTTGCTTTACTACACACCTTTACCGACAGCAGGAGATTGCATATCATAATGAGGATCTAGAGGTAATTTCGAATTGGGGTGAAAGTAACCAGGTTCAATTCGATGTCATAATGACACCAATAATATGTCTTGACACAATGTTGCTAAAATTGTAAAGACTGCTTCTCAAAAGCTTGGAACACTGTTCCGAACCAGAAGACTGTACACATCCCAGCAACTTTTGATGCTTTATCAAGCTCAGATCAGACCTTCTTTGGAGTATAATTCTCATGCATGGAGCTCCGCCCCTAAGCATACCTTGAAACTGCTGGATTCCATCCAGAAAATTGCCATCCGCCTGATTGAAGACACAAACATTACTTGCAACCTTGATAGTCTGGAACATCGAAGAAAAGTTGGAGTTTTGTCTCACTTTTATGAAGACTTTCACGGAAGGTGTTCAAGTGATTTGGTATATTTGATACCACTAAGAGCGGTACATATCTGAAATACGCGACTGACTGTGACTGCTCATCGAACTTCACTGTTTATGAAATCTGTCACTTGGAGAACTGCGTTCCTGAGAACGTTTTTTCAAATCAATTTAACTTCAGCGATGAAAATCCAACGTGAATCGTTACTTTCGCATAGGCACCGCTCTAAGAGCGTCTCAAGGATTTTCCTGTAGTGCTTGTGTTTTCTTTGAAGAAAAATTGATCTGTCCTTTTCAATCCTTTTTTTCTCCGTCCCCTCCTTGTCTTTTCGTTTCTTTTTTCTTTTTCTTGCACGCCCTTCATTCATGCCGTTATCTCGTTGTAATTATTTTCAATGGTATTCATCATACAAAATGAATATGCTTGCAACTTTTTTCAGAACCCAATGTTACATTCATACGTAGGTTCTTAATGTATAATGCACGTTTTGGAATTCAATAAATCTGTTTAACAATGTTTTAATAAACTCTATACTTCAATTATTATAAGGTCGAATTGGAATCTCTAGCGTAGAATAAATCCAAAACAATAACCTCTCCGAAACACCAAAACTGCAACACTTCTCTAGACGCACGTTTCACCAACCAAGTTGACGTCTTCAGGAGAAGTAGAATAATTCCTGAATCTTCGCAACTATAAATGATGGGTATCACTGTGAGTCTTTGAGCGACATAAAATATCATGAATTTAAAAAAGTTGTGGATTCATTTTGAAGGAATTCTTATATACAATACAATTTAACCAATTTGAAAGTAATGTCATAAATTGGTAACATTTATCTTGGCACTACAATATATCCTTTTATTTAATGCATGTACTTATTTGAAGACAAACCATATAAATTTCTTTGTTCTTTCATGTCGGTAGTTCTTTCAATCCAAAAATTCTACGGATTTTGTATACTTCATCAGTAAGATTACAGAATCACTAAGGTGTTGCTTCTGGCAACGTTTTTCAATATTCATCTGCAAGGAAACCGAGTTGTCCAGCATCAACCTGTCAATTATATATATAGAACACGTTAATCACACGTTAAAAGGTAAGACCTCGTTAATATTTAACTCGCACAAGTTTCGACTTCTGAGGGTTGTCGTTCGTAGGGGTGCGACTGCTGGTTAACGGACAAATATATTTCAAACAGAAGTTTTCAAACAATATCTGCCATCTGAGCATGCCACACCAATCATTTGGAGATATGGAATGATTAAAAAAGTTAACAATATTTTTTAAAGATAGACTCATCTTCACAAGGAAGTTTACATCACGTTTGAAATGATACTCAAATATCGTCAAAAATCAATAAATCAATATTAACAATATTTTTCAAAACAATCTTTTATTTATATGCTCCAAAAGGCAAAAAATGAACTTAAAATTAACTCCAAAATCCAAAAGTTTACCTGAATATAGCACAATTTATATAATATAAAAGCTTGCTTTGAGATCTATAAAAACATATAATTTTATTCTAACGATTACCAAAGTTAAGAAGAATCGCTCGTTAAAAAGCAAGACCTAATCAATTTTGGAGGTTGTCGTTAGTAGAAACAAATATCTTGGCATTGTTCTTGATAAAAAACTCACCTGGAAGGCTCACTTGGAAAAAGTTTTACACAAAGCCAGACTGTTCCTATGGACAAGTCGAAGGATTTGTGGTAAAACTTGGGGTTTAGATCCCAAACAAATCCGTTAGATTTATGTGATGATTGTCAGTACCACACCGTCGGCGGCCATGGAGATCCTTCTAGATCTACCTCACCCCCAAATTTTTCTGGGGAGAGCGGCTAGATGGACTGCATATAGATTTGTGCACATTGCCAATTGCACAAATCAATTTAATATAGAGTGCAACAAACTGTTGGTTGACACTGGAAGTCACAGCATTCTGAAAATGACCTCTGACTTTATACCTCCACCTGTCAACTATGAACTGCCTTATAAAGTACCGAGTAGAGAAGACTGGATACTCCGGGAGAATATAATATTAAGAGCAGATAGTTGTTGTTTCACAGATAGATCAAACACTCCTTCCGATTCTGATGCAGATGTTTTCAGTCGTAGACCCAGGACAAGGATATCAACTTGCCTGGGAACCTGTATTTCAAGGGGAAATTTACGTTATTGAATTGTGTGCGGAGAGATTGGAAGAATCCAACCTCATACATAAGTCAATAAAAATATTCTCGGACAGTCAAGCGACGTTGGAAACTATTGGCTCCTACCGAGCAACGTCTAAATTGGTAGCAAATTGCCAAATTGTCCAGAGATAATCTGTGTCAGTCTCTGGACTATAGATTCCTGGCCATACTGGCCTGGAAGGCAATGAGGCTGCTGACTCCTTTGCAACGAAGGGTGCGACAAGCAGCTTCATCGGGCCAGAACCTATCATTGGCATCGATTTAGGCTTTGCCAAACAAATATTGAACACCTGGATGACAAAAAGATTTAGGGACTTCTGGCAGAATCTTCCAGGATTGGCTCACTCCAAGACGTTTATTCGCCCTTCGACGCTTGATACCCAATAGTTGTTGGACTACAGTAGGGATGAACTACGATGTCTAACAGGCCTTCTTACAGGTCACTGTCATTTGAATCATCATATGCAGAGACTCGGACTGTCGAAAGACAGTGTGTGTCGCCTCTGTTTGGAAAATGATGGAACAGCTGAGCACATACTTCGTGCCTGCGCCGCTGGGGACCAAATCAAGTTTTTAGAGTTCGGCAGAGCCGTACTCGTACCATCTGACCTGAAAGACCAATCACCATAAAAACTAATCAGCTTCGTCAAGAAGCTGGGTTTATTTGGTCGAGTGTGAATAGGTTTGAGCCACAATAAACCCTTACGGGTTGCGGTGGGGGCTCGAATAGACCCACTCACGTTGAACCTAACCTAACCTTGTAGGGGAACAACAGCTGCTAAATTGAAAAAACAGATTTCAACAGAAACAGATTATCCTTTATCTACACAAGTGAATCTCGCAACAAGCTTCATTTATATTACATAAATTGTGTAACGTAATAAAATTATGAGTTTCATGAGTTTAAAATGTCAAAATTTATTTTCTTCTTTTTGAAGCATATAAATAAAAAATGGTTTAAAAAAATGTTTTTTACTATTTATCCATTTTTAGTTATTGCTAGACATGTTATTTAGTCTGTTAATTTTAATTAATGCTTCATTGCTATATGGTCGAACCCTACAAGCAATTTCTATCCTTTACCGAGTATGGTGACTAATTTTTTGTCACGATTTCAATTTTTTTTTTCAACCCGTACAATTGATGTCCATATGATCACAGTGGACCAGCCTACCCAAGCTAAGGTATGAGGAATCGTGCCGACAGCTGAATGGCCGCAGGGTGAAATGCGGTCACGAACGATCCCCTTGGGGAACTGGGAGAAACCTCATTTTAATCAGCCTATCTCTGTTATGCGGGGCTCTGCCACAGTTGACCAACTCTTCCCTTGCTACTCGTGGGAACACACATTAATGAAACAACAAAAACAAAAACCATTCCCGAGGCTGGACAGAATTGGTCACCCCAATCTAAGGGGGTGACTGGGGATGGACAGAAATGTCCACCCCAATCTACCGCTTGGAATTAGGCTGGACATAGCAGATCACCACAGCAAGGGCACTTCCTGCAGCGGGCGCCAAGAGCTCCGCCTTGAATAAAGTCAAGGAACCGCCTGCCCCTGCAGGAAAACTCCCTCACTTGTGCACCTCCACGGAGGGAACACCAAGAAGGTTGAAGAAGCCGTGCAACGACAGTAATATCGCTGCACCTTCCAAAACCTTCGCGAAGACCACCGTGAGACACCTCAAGGTTGCCAAAGAGAGTGTGTGTTCGGCGAGTCTTGGCCTACACCTGCCAATATTAAGGAGATGTCTCCTAGTGACCTGTTCACCTTCCCGGAAAGGACAGGATGGACGATGACCTAGGAGGACAACTACTCGGGAGGATGTACAATGGGTCACATGTGGCCTAAGTGTTGTGAGTCTCACTCACCCTCCCTATTCTATAGATACAAGAATCATGGTTTGCTATCTTTGGTGGTTACAGGTTGGAAACTGAGTTTCAGAAGAAGAATTAGATAGAAAAATGACCTGAATGAATTGAAAGGAGTATATTTTCGGTAGAGAATAATTTTTGGGAAAGAAAGGTTTTGGCTTTCTACTTCTCCTTATTTATACAAAAAATGTAGGAATCTTTCAAAGAAAGAAAGGAAGCAAGAAAAAAAATAACTCTATACAATCATGCAACCATGGTCTACCGATAAGAATAAGGGTTTGGTTCAATTTTATTCTATTTAGTACATTTTATTTTCAAATCTACTACATTTCAGAAACGGCAGCACTACAACTGTGGGAATTGATTGCTCGCTTGACTTAGATTCACCATGGGCGTTAATAATACGGTGGCAATTGCACGACTCCAGTCCGTTCGAATATCCATGCTACCGGAAAAGTTTTTTGAAATACAGTTGGACCGATAAAATGATGCATTCTCAATGTGTACACATTCCACAAACTAATTAAAACGAAACGATGTGGTTACTGCTCCACTGAACAATTGCCTTTATTGTTGAAATTCATTAATTTTGAAATCCCCATGTTACAATTTTGGGTCAATTTCATGAAATTTATCAGCACTCCATTAATCATTTCATAACAACATTTTTATGTTCCATTTTCAACTACAATATCTGACAATTTAATTTTTCCAGTATGCGGGACCTCAGACAGAGACATTCTCAATTCGAGATTAAAATTTGTATATACTAAAAATTAGAATTAAAACTTCTTATGTTTTTATAGCATATGTATTTGTAACTAACGTTACTGCAGTTTTGTCCTACAAGAACATTTTCAAACGAATACAATAAACTGAAATAATTAACAATGTACTCCCTTATATGTGTGTTAGGATTCACACGTTAAAAGGCAAGACCTCGTTAGTCCTTAGCTCGCACAAGTTTCTCAACTTCTGAAAGTTGTCGTTCGTATGAGGGCGACAGCTGATTAACGGAAAAAACAGATTTCAAACAGATTTTTAAACAGATATACATATATAACACATTCGGTAATAACAGACGGTCCTTAATGACTTTAGCACTTGAATTTTGTTTACCTGTGAAAATGTGGGAACGCTAATCTGAAAACCGGCGAGTAGACCAGGTCAATTTTGTCACAGGTTATTGTTATTGTTATTGTTTGAATATGTCTTTGTAGGACGTAGCTGCAATGACCTGAGTTACAAATACAAGTGGTATAAACACATAGGAAGTTTCAATTCCCTGTTTTCATGATCTCCTACCACGTAGTAACGGCTACATCCATCAATTTATTGTTTGAAAAATACACTACACGACTGTAATGCCGATTGCAGTTCTTTGTTAATTTTTGGCCCCTTAATGCGAAAATGTAAAAATAATGTAAAACTTTCCTAACACAAAAATTTAATGTACACGACATTCCAAATTTGCTTTTCCCCTAAATTGAGGAAATTATTTAAAATCTGGCAACACAGCACCTCTGCCCAGTATTCGAATCTGCTTCCGATGTATATGAGACTTGTAACGCCGCTTCTCGAAGTTTCCAGAAAATACCAGAAATACGGAACCGCTATAAAAGTAGCAGGTTGACCTCAAAGTCGTAGACTAAGTCTTCAGGGCGAATTCATGAAGTTTTACTGTTTTCTTGCCAGGTCAAGCTAACATGAAGAATATACCTCTTGTTGATCCCAAAAACGTTTTGTTACCTCTATTACACAATAAACTGTAGTCAATGAAAAATTTTGTAAAAGCATTAGACAAAGAAGGTGATGCGTTTAAATATCTTAAACACGTTTTCCAAAATTAAGTGATGCAAAGCTCAAGGAAGATACATTTGTTGGACCACAAATTGGAAAACTACTAAGTGATTAACAGTTTGATCAAAAATTAAGTAATGTTGAATTGGCTGCGTGGAGTAATTTCAAAAGAATTGTTTCGAAGTTTTTAGGGAACAAGAAAGTAGAAAATTACGAAACACTTGTAGAAGAACTACTTGAAAACTACTGCAGAATGGTATGTCGCATGTCTCTCGAAATCCATTTCTTGCACTCCCATTTAAATTTTGTCCCAGAAAATTTGGGTGCTGTCAGTGACGAACAAGTGGAAAGGTTCCACCAAGATGTACTGACAATGAAGCAACGTTACCAAGGCAGATGGGATGCAGCAATTATGGGGGATTATTGTTGGTTCCTTATGAGGGAAAACGGTGAAGCATATAAAACGAAAGTCAACATTTGCAAAAAGGTTATGCACAAAAGACTTCATTTGTATGTTTTTTCATGTGTATTGTAAATTAAAGTCTGTTATCCTCAAAATATATTGTTTTTTCTTGTTTTGATCTTATATTTCCCTATAATATGTGAACACTTGTATAAAACAAAAATAACTATAACTCAAAATCTTTACGTCATGGAAAATGTTTTATGTTGAAGTCGCATTCAGGATGCTTCAAACGCTCATCTATACCCAGTATAATATTATTCGCTTCTTTTTTTATTTGTTGGCTAAAGATATTAACAGGACCACTTGGACCATTCAATCACAAACCAGATATAAGATGAGAAAAATGGTTATTCATTGAAGTGTCTCGTTCAACACTTATTCAAAGAACCGATAACATTCCGTTGAATAAAATCAGAATACCGAATCATGCATTTTTATTTGTGCTGAATCTGTCTGATTCATTCATTCCCATTTTTATTATATTTGCATATATGTATGTAAAATGTGAAATTAAATTCCTTGTTTAAATATGGTAATCATAATTTTTATTATTTCACAGAACCTAAAAGCTTTGCAAAAACTTTACTCACATCCCAACGACGTGGACCTAATTATTGGCGGCCTGATGGAAGAACCCAAACCCTTACTGGGTCCAACTTTCTCCTGTATCATCGAAGATCAAATGATTCGTTCCAAAAAAGGAGATCGATACTTCTACACCAATCAGGACCAACCTAATGCTTTCAGCGATCTACAGTTGAAAGAGATCCAGAAAGTGTCGCTTGCTAGAATAATTTGCGACAATGCGAAAGAAATAGAATCGATGCAACCTAATGTGTTTGAGAAGATTGGTGAGAGGTAAGTTGTTAGAAGTTGTGGGTCACTTACTGAAATTTAATTGAAATTTAGGTTATGTCATATTGAATTGATAATTTTTCAATTAATTCAGTACAGTGTGTTCAATATTTGAAGGTGTATATGAAAATATCATGAAGCTGAAATGGTATTAAAAAGAATACATATTTTTCAAATTCGAGTTTCTGCATGGCGATCTCTTAAAAGTATAAGATAGAGAATCGGTAAAATTGAGGCAAAAATTACCCATTCCAGAGTAATATCGAATGGGATTGAAATGGGTGGACATTTTTATCGTCCCCCTTTCGAAGGGCATCCCTCACCAAAGGAGCGTCCAGAAAGGATTACCAGTTGACAAAAAATGTTTACAGAAGATTGATTCAATTCGCCTTGAACGAATTTCAATGAAAGAAGTCGTCCTACCAAACGGAATTTATCCAGTGTTATTGCAGAACTTCATACTAAAATCTGGGAAATTAGGACAGGATTTAGCAAAGGTTTTGGAATCAATCAGTGTCATATCATTTGTATGGACAGCATTGGAAAAACTATTCAACAGACATATTGGTGGAACTGGTTAACAAACCACTGCATGGAAACCAATATACGTAGTACAGGTCAGTTATGTCTGGTCACGGAAAGAAACAGAATATGCTTTCAAAAACAAAGAAGTTTGTTCAGCTGCTTCTTTGGAAATTGAAGGATTCGTTTCCACTGTTTTGGAACCTTGTAATGGATTAGGACCTCTAAAACTTCAAGTTATAAAGTTACGTCGGGGGTGGTTAGTTATATGAGAGTGATACTAGATCACAGACTGACCTGAAACCAACATTTAGAAAGAGTAGGGAAAGATAAGGATGCTGCCCCAGAGCTGGCCCAACACATTTACGAAAATACATTGAGATTGGAACCAGGCATGATGTATTGATTATACCCAACAGTGGTTGAGTGCATGTAACATAACATGTTATAGATATTATATATATATGGTCTAGTATCTAGAGATAAAGAAACGACCGCTTTGAACAGACTAAGCAGGGTACAAAGACTTGTTTTTTGGATTCAGAGAAAACTACACCAAATAACAGCCATGGAGATAGTCCTAAATCTTCCCTTTCCAATCTTTTAATAATGGGGGAAGGATAATGAGTCAATTCAGGATGAAGTTAAGATACAAGGGATCGGGTAAAACAGAAATTTCGGGGAAACGAACGTGCGATACCAATTTCTCACAGACAAAATCACAAACCGCAAAGAGTTGAGACTTAACAAACGGGTCCAGAACTGAATGTTGGACGGAAACTGAAATTCATCATGTGAAGAGAAATTTATATTACAACAACCCGGTTACAATTACCCGCTACCCGCTCTGATCAATTAATTAATGGCAAGTTTGACTCAAAATAAAACAGCTGAAGATTATACTAAAAGTAACGGAACACCTCGTAATTATCCGTTACTCCAATAAGATATTATTACTGAAAATAAGTTGTATACATTTCACAAACGTAGAAACTAGGAGAGAATAATAATGAATAATTTTTTTCAGGAATAATCTGGTACCCTGTGACAGTGAGTATATACCAAAAATGAGTCTCGTACCATGGATGGACAACAGAGAGAGATATTATAATTGATACGGCAAAAAATGTGTAAATTGTTTCATAATCTTCTCAGATCAAATTTAAATATAAATAATTCTCTTGTCAATAAATTGATGGATGTAGCCGTTACTACGTGGTAGGAGATCATGATGAAAAGAGAAATGAAAATTTCTATGTTTTTTACCATGTTTTATAAAAGTGGTAAAAAACAGAAATTTTCATTTCTCTTTTCATCAATTCTCTTGTCCTTTTTTGTTCTCCGTATGTTCATTCTAGGGCGTATTGATTATATTAACCAAGTAGCTTCTTTTTAAGGAAAAACTTTTTCTCAGAAGTAATCAACGAGGTCTTATCAATCAAAGTTAATCACGGTCTCACGCTTATCTTTTTCCGGATCGTGAAAACAAATACAGATTTCAATTCTTATATGAAGAAGCGAAGATAACACCTTGAATGTGATGCCAAAAGGTAGAAAAAAAGTTAGTCTTTTCGCCATTTCTTGCAGCAGCTATACTCCTTTACTGCAAACTTCCCACGGCTTTAGCATACAGGTTCGAATGCCTGAGAAACAGGAAGTACGTATTTATCAACATTATGTTGTGCTGCATTTCAGCATCAATGCAAACCTAATCTAAGGAACACAACTTTACAATAAAGTAATAAAATCACCGAAGTGGAAAGAACTATAATAATTAGCTATGCTAGGTGTACAATTCCTTTGTGATGAGATCAGAATCAAGGTAAATAGGTTTACAGTCAAAGTTTCTGACGCTTGGCATGATTGAAAAAAATGTGGTAAATTTTTTGCAAACCAGGTTTCGACTTCGGAATTATTGAAATGTCTCAAATACAATCCCTCTTTGCTTTGTTCAATTACGTTTATGACGAAAATATTTTGTGTGGTTATCACTTTGAATCGTAATAATAATAATGACAATAATATCGTCTTTATTATCTTCAAATATATTTCAAACAAATTAATAAGGTACAATTTGATTGTTATATGAAGATAACAGGCGAAATTCAATTTGCATTATGACAAGTCATCATTCAATTTCTCTCCCACTTAACCTCTAAAATGTCGCCTAGTAGGTACACAAAGGAATAAACAAAAAAGGAAAAATTATTTTAAAATACTCTATTTGTAGATTTGTGATAGTCATAGGAAATGTCATTATAAATTGCACAGATCTGGTAACTGAATCTCCTTCTAAAGAACTCTGTGCAAAAGGGTGGCGGAGTTAGTCAGCCTTTATACCTTACGCACATCAATTCTAATAGTTATTTTCTGATGATGTCTTGGTAAACAGAGCTTCGACCCAGTAGGTTTAACAGACTCTCCGTATATTCAGAATAATTTTATCGATGAAACTTACTTACCTTGTCAACGTGAGTTTATTCCCAAAGTCTGAAAAATGACACCCTGAATTACTTACGTTGCTCATTTCTATTTTAATGTAATTTTTAATTATTACTGGTTATTCAACTCCCAATGCTACTTGATAGATAGATTTGGAAGCACTGTTCAAGATTTTCAAATGAAAGCCATCCTAACTTGATGGGTAGAAGTGGAATTTCTGGTCTAAAATGAGTCTATTATAAACACTTTCAATGAATCTCTGAAACACACTTTTCCCACGCACGTTTCTCTAACTTAACATGCAAGATTACAAAAATTTTATGAATGACATGTGAAAATTATCCATAATTGCCACATTGGCGAAAAAATATTCAAAGTCAGAATTCGCAAACGAGGGTTTTTTGCGTTTTTCAGCCAAACGGTGAGTTTTATCACAGAAATAGGTTATACTAAATGATTGATTCTAACAGGTATGTTCTCCATAATATGTCCATGCTTTCACATCACCTGTGAGGTTGTGTACTTGATGCGTTTTTTAAATATTTTTCCCAGTAAAACTTTTCCACGATCTATTGTGATCTCAATCAGGTGAATACTATGCGATATTAGAAAATTATATTATTGAAAATAATGAAATGATTTCTAATGGTGAAGGGTAAATTTTCCCATCCTACGATTATTCATAATCATCCAATACATCAGCTTCCTCTTCTCCCTAGTCTTTTTATTGTTTTTGATAGATGTATTTCAAGTCAGATTCCAATTCTACCTATCAAGTTAGGAAGGCTTCCAAATCAATGGAGCTAAATCTATACTTTCAAATCATCTTCTCTTTTTTAATCAAGCAATGACACATCGATTGATCTACGTAATTCAATTCTGACTCACTGTCAGAGTAAAGTTATGTATTACTTTTTCTACTAGGGCTGCAACAAACGCCCTTGCTAGAATCCCTTGATCTCATTTTTACATAGTTTGGTCGAAACTTTTGTTTGCAGCCACGATCACCACAACTATATACCCATCCATTCAATCACGAACATCACCCATTCATTCACAAACCTCTTTGTCGGCTACCTGATTTAGTGCATATCTTCCTTTACCTTTTTCATTTTGATCAATCGTCTCTCTTTCTTTCCAAGTGGTTTCATCCATAGTCTCAGTGAGACCGTTCTCTGCAGAAGGACATCTAAATCTGGACATGTAATTTTTGAATTATTCATGTCTCACTAGCAACTTGACAACTTTTTTCATTATCTTCCTCTGCCACTCCTTTCTAATTGACTTTTTTTTTAATCTTTCAGTCTTTCTGCTTCCTCATTGAAATATAAATAATGGAAAGCCTAATTATTTTCAAACGAGGAGCACTTTTTAAGGTTCATTTGAAAGAATAAAAACAAATATTTATATTGAGATAGTAATGTAATGAGATGGTTTTTAATCTTTCACGAATAAAAAATCTATCTCTAACAAACCATTCATTTAATAGAACATTTGACAAAATCAATGAGAAGAATATATGTGGTCTTCAGTGAAGGATATCTCAGAATGTGGCTTGAAATGTTCAAAAATAATGACGTCATTTCTCCCATGTTTCAAAAAGGGTGCAGGTAAGTACAATGTCTGAATTGGACCCATTCTAGCGTACCTACCCAAAACAAAGCCATTCACCATAGCAATTCCTTTTGTCCAATTGCTCATATCGAGAAAGGTATCTTTTAATGGATTGTTGACTATAAGTGAAGCTTTGTACAACGATGGTCCTGTTGCAGATTTATCAAATGTTCGCCATGAACTCAGCTCATTGGTCCAGGATTTCTTGAATTCAAGAGGAAAAATCATCCAATTGGAAATATATTCGTCATTCAACAAAACACCTCCTTGCCAAATACCTTTGAATTGTTTGTACACTCTGACATTTACTCTACCCCAGTTTTCCACCACCAAGTCCAAGGTAGCACCAGATAACTGAACTGTTGAGAGAACCAGTGTACCATTTTCCACTCTGGAGGTTCCAAATTTATTTAAATCGGCACTTTTCTGCAACCATGGTGACACCAAAACCCCATTTACAAGAACCATCACAGTATCACATACCCTGCCTTCTATTCTCAAGACACCATTGGCCGGTATATGAAGATTCTTTTTCCGATATACGATGTATCCATAGCTTTGACCACCATTTTTGTTAATGTTTAACATTTCCATTGGCAACAATTTCGTGGACTGTAGAGATGTTAGAGTTTCTAGTGCCGATTCAATGGATAGTTGTTCTTGAATAGGGACAGAAGTATAAGCAGTGGTTTCTGATTGTTCTGGAACGTCGGGTAATTTCGTTTTGATGGTATTATATTTTTCTAACAGTTTCTTTGTGATATAGTACTTATCAGTGTATCGACCAGCTTCATCCAACGGGGCATTGTAATCGTAGCTGGATATAATCGAATGATAATCTGAAAAACAAATACAATCATTCTAATCCATCTTTATGTACTTCAAGGAGGCATGTACTCAACAATATGGGTAGATACATATGACTATTGATAGTTGATTTCTCCAAATTCACAATACAAGATAGCTGTTCCATTTTCAGAAATTGAGTACAGGAGAAATTACAGGTTTATATACTTTACAATCGAAATTTACATCTAACATTGTGATGAAAATATTTACCTGATTCTATTTCATCATATTTTCTATTCTCTGCACCATTCATGAACCCAAAATTTGTGCCTCCATGAAACATGTATATATTAACTGACGACGGATATTTCAGAATTTCTTCATACACTTCCTCGAATATTTGTGCAGATCTGTTATTATGCCGGCTACCCCAAACATCATACCATCCCGACCAGTATTCCATTGTCATCAGGGGTTTATTGGGTTGTAGCTTCTTCAACATATCAAGCTGTTTTTGAGGATCTGTATTGAAATTCCCAGCCATAAAAAATAACTTTCGTATAGTGCCACCTGTACCTCGAACTGGATTATCCGATGTTACAAGTAATTCCTTTATTCCTGAAAATCAATTTTATATATGTGACGGAATCAGCCAGATACCTGATGAAAATCCATAATGAATTTAAGATTGTGACATTTTCACTATCCAGTTTTACAAAAATACAACACGTGTTTCGCTATTGTATTTCCTTATTGTAGCGAAACACGTGTTGTGTTTTGTAAAACTTTTCAGTGAAAATCTCACAATATACTGTTTCTTGAATAAACTAATTGAAAAATAATAAATTATGAAAACACGCCCAAAGTTCAACACTGGTATATGTTAAGAGAGTTATATAGTCTAATCAACAAGTTCAAAAACATGAAAATAGAGATGAAGGTCCTAAAAATATGAGCGATAGCTCATTCGATTCGGAATCACCTCTAGAAAAATGTTTTTGAAGGATTTTGGTGCAGGTGAAAAATTGCAATTGTTATTAATAAAATAAGTTAAATTTGATAGCGAAATCAATTTTAATCTTCAATTATCAGCAATTGTGGCAAAAAGTCTCAAAATGCTGGGTTTTGTGTTGAGAATTTCTACTGATTTTTCAATTAAAACAAAAAAGATTTTTATATTGTGCTTTCATAAGATCCATTTTTGAATATTGTTCGGTTATATGGGACCCATACTATAATGTAAATAACGATTTGATTGAGCATGTGCAAAAGAAATTCTTAAGAAATTGTGCTTTTCACTTTGGTATTCATCGAAATGAATATGAGTACAGTCAACTCTTAACCAAGTTAAATATACAATCATTGGAAGATATAAAAGTTTACCTGAATATAGCACAATTTATATAATATAAAAGCTTGCTTTGAGGTCTATAAAAACATATAATTTTATTCTAACAATTACCAAAGTTAAGATGAAGTTACATATCTAGGAATATAGGAATCGCTCGTTAAAAAGCGAGACCTCATCACTTTTGGGGGTTGTCGTTAGTAGAGGGGCAAGTATCTTGGCATTGTTCTTGATATAAAACTCACCTGGAACGCTCACTTGGAAAAAGTTGCACACAAAGCCAGACTGTTCCTATGGACAAGTCGAAGGATTTGTGGTAAAACTTGGGGTTTAGGTCCCAAACAAATCCGTTGGATTTATGTGATGATTGTCAGTACCACACCGTCGGCGGCCATGGAGATCCTTCTAGATCTACCTCACCCCCAAATTTTTTTAGAGAGAGCGGCTAGATGGACTGCATATAGATTTGTGCACATTCCCAATTGCATAAATCAATTCAATATAGAGTGCAACAGACTGTTGGTTGACACCTGTCAACCTGTCAACCTGTCCACCTGTCAACTATGAACTGCCTTATAAAGTACTGTTCCCGAGTAGAGAAGACTGGATACTCCGGGAGAAGATAATATTAAGAGCAGATAGTTGTTGTTTCACAGATAGATCAAACACTCCTTCCGATTCTGATGCAGATGTTTTCAGTCGTAGACCCAGGACAAG